GTGCGGCCTCACCAGTGCTGAGTACAGGGGGACAATCACTTTCCTGCTCCTGCTGGCCATACTATTCCTTCTCATGGCATTCACTTTGTGTGCTTCCTTGCCTGATAGTCATGGTATTTTCCCCCCACATAAACACATAACAGGGAATTCCATGGTCTTCCCAAACCTTCTGCCTGCCCTTAAGAGGAAGCCCTGAACAAAAGGATTGAAACCAAAAAATAAAACAGAAGACCCTCAAAACAGTAAACAAAACTCTTCAAATTTTATTACAGTGCAGACAAAAATGCAATAAGCAATGCACCTACCTGGAAAGAGAGGTACAGGAAAAGGTGGAAGAAAAGCAGCCACCTTCCATGCATGATGCCAACCCAGAGAGAACAGTGCTCCTCTCAAACATTGCACATCAACACAACACAGCAACTGCTCCCGGGATGTCACCCATGCTCTCAACTAAAGGACACCTCAGTCTGCCGTTCTCTCATTATCCCAAAGAGCAACTCTTCCAAAATGCCCCTCAATCCAAAAGACCATTTACCTCCCTGATGATATTCCCCAAACACTGTGCAATCAAGCTGCTAACAGTGCTAAAGATATTAACACTGCAGTATTACTGTCTAACTTAATCCAACAATTAATGAAAATAGCAAAACACACTCCTTAGTTGATACTTAAATGATCATTCACATATTTTTCAGCTCTTTCAATCAATCTTTTAGTAATTTCCAATAGAAATTTCTCATGATATAAACTGAAGAGAAGAACTGCTTTATCAAAAGATCTATTAGATGAAAATCTTTTGCACTATCTATCCTTATTCTTCTGGTCTTCAGAACTAAATACTGAAGTTGATATAACACATCAATACAGTTTTTTTCCTTTTTGCTAATCCAGGCTTGAAGGAGTCTTGTAGCCAAAAGGTAGTCTTAAAGAGAAACTACACGAGTTGATAAATTCCTGTTGGCTGAGGGCTTGTGGGAAATACATAGGATGCACGTGGTAACAACGTTCTAGCCTGCACCCATGTTTCATCAGCCTGGAGGCAGCTGGGGAGAAAAGTCAGCCTGTGCTCAGCGAGGGAAAGAAGGACTGGCCTATAGGCTGCTAAACTTAACTGATCTGCAGCTCCTCGAAATTCCCATTTAAGTTGGAAGACTTATACAAGCTTTCAGACAACACAATGCATAACTTTGAGTTTCCTCAAAAAACACACGCATGCACAAAATAGTTTTTGTTGTTAGTCATCTTACTGTAAACAATAAAGCTCTGAACTTATCATAAAAAATGGAGGTTGGGTTGTTTTTTGGTTTGGGTTTTTTTGTTTTTTTTGGGATTTGGGGTTTTTTTTAATGTCAAGGACCCTCCAAACATCTCAAAATAGTCATAGTTAACAGCTGTTTCAGCCTTTTTCTTTTTTTTTTTAGCCAAAATACTACACATTTCTCTTTAAAATCCATAAACTTTCACAATTTTCTCAGAAAATGGTGGCATGCATCAGTCTCAGAAAGTCTCTTCCTCCTTCCTTCCCAAATATATAGGGTCTCTCTGGACCATCCTGGCTTACTTTTCTTTGTGTACAGGCCTTTGCTTGTTGTTTCTTAGCAGAAGAAAGCTTCTTTCAAACTGACCTTTAAAAGTAGCTGACTTTAGTTAAGAACATTCAAACTGTACTTAGTTTCAGTTTACAGGAATTTGGGAAACAGAAGGAACAGGCATGGAAAAGTCCTTTTTCTACTTCTTGAGGAAATTCTTCCACACATATTCAGCCAGTGGAAGAACGTAAGAAGCAGCTGTCCTTTGCACAACTCTTACTGTATAAATAGCACATTGCTGACAGTTGAATCAAGGCTCTGTTGGGTAATAGGAGCCAACAGAGCAAGTAGAGAAGCAGAAAAATTCCAGGAACAAATCAAATATTTGAAAATGTAGATTAACTCAATCTCCTATTTACTTATTTTATTAAAAGGTCAGAATCATAATTACCACCAGTTGCGAAAAACATGTTTTCATTCACTGAGCAACATGATTTGGAGCAAGCCAACAGTTAATAAACCTTGTGGCTTTCACTCACCTGTGGCTGTTTCAAGCAAACCAGGCAAAGCCTGTAGATGTTCTAGCTGTCCATTGTTTGATGTCATTTCACAAAGAACGTCAAGAAGACGAATTGTAACCAGTGCTTCCTGTAAATGAAAATTACATTTCTGGAAATGGCTTATGAAGGAAACCAGAAGAACATAAAACTGACGATCTAAACAGAGGACAGGAACTCTCAGCACCTCAGGTTCTTTGCAGGTCTTCTAAACTGCCAAGAATAAATTTATATAAAATGAGGACATCTTTCTACAATAACAATAATGTATTACACTGCAATAATTTCTTTTCTACAGCCAAACAGTGTTATATGTGCCCTGAAAAATCATGGGGAAACCAAAACAGAGCCATAAGGGATAAAATTTTAACAAAAACAGAGTAGCTTCCAAAAGCAGAAATGCAGAAAATTACTAGCTGAGAAAATTATTTCTGTATAAATGTTTTCTTTGAGTTTATTCAGTAGGAGCGTCCCACTTTAAAGACACAAACACCGCCTGCAAGACACCAATTTGTTATCCGCAGGAATTCTGTAAAGTTCTGTGGTCAAATGAACTTTGGCTGCGAGAATTTACATTATTCTTGGGTAAATAGGATTGGGATCATAGATGCAGCATTTTGGTTAGCTATGAGACACAGAATTTTATTTGCATATTATTTATTCAGCCAGAGAACTATTTTTTCTCACAGACTATGTTGATGCGTGCTTATAATGACAATCCAGCACTTACAGAAACTACCTGAAGAGCATATGGCATAATTTGGAACACCACATACTGCTCAAGAACAAGATGATTCCACACAAGGTGTGGTACATAAACTGCAAGTAGCCTTGAAAAGGCTCTGACACAGGTCACAGTAACTATTCCTGCCTTGTCTGGTCCAGGAAAGAGAGACATTTTCTTACCAACAGTATATTTTTGAATCCATATAATCAATATAACATAATTGAACTCATCAACAATAGTGTTCAGTAATTAAGTACTACGATTATATCTATTCTTTGTTCCTTCCTATGCTCCTGGAAGATAACAAATTGATAGAAGGTCCAGATCCTAAAGCTGTATTTTCACTCTTTTCCTCATACAGGAAGGTGCAGGTCTTGCCCTAAGTTATTCAATAAATAATTCAATAAGTTATTAAATAAATTCCTTTCAACAGCACAAAACCAGCCTCTGAATACATTGGTCATTGTCCTGTTATAAAGTAAGAATACCCCAACTGTATTTCACAGACAGTAAGCAGGTATTCACAATTTTTAAGCCATTTTGCATTGTCGCAAGACAGCAGCTTAACCAAAAGCCTCTTCAGCTCCTTCACTTAACACCTTTGCACAAGAAAAGGTTACACGCTTTACAACTGTCAAGCGAACACGTATCAATAGGCAACTATAAATCACACCAGGAAGGTACAACAGCTCTTGCTGCCCATGTGTACCCCATTACCCACACACATAATGCAAGCTCTGTAGCAGCAGACACTTTGAGGTGTGTTTTTTTCTTTTCTCAGCCTTATCCTTTTTCACCTCCCCCCACCACCTTTTTCTTTAAATGCCCTTCTTCACTGTCCTCTACATATTTCTTCCCAGGGTGCTATACTACCACCTCTCCTTTTCTCTTATCCCATCACCTGGCTCAGTTCAGCAAATGCTCCATCTAGATTTGAGAAGAGGAACAGATTATGTAAAATGCACAAAAGAACCCCCAAATTCTTATCTATATTTGAAACTTGATACTTTCAAAAACTGTTTAAATATCTCTGGTTGGGTACACCCCCATGCCCCAACTTTACAATTTTTTTTTTTTTTGCCTCCACCTGTACAAAAGAAAGGCAATAAAGCAGAATACTTCCTTTTTAAGTTCAGCAACAAGATGCTGTTCAAACCCCAAAATATTCTGAAATCTGACAGACATCTTGATGTGGATATAATCTGATAAGGAAATAAGGAAATAATTGAAGAGTTTTTAACTAAACATACTTCAAGAGAGACTCAGAAAAGATGTTCCTTACAAAGAGATGAAATAAGAACTTAGAATCCAGGGAAGGGTTTTAGTTTGCAAGTATGCTTCAAAGTTAGTGAAAGCAAACTGATGTTGAAGTCAGGCTTATAATGGAAAAGCTATTTTAAACATTGGTTTAAACACTGCAGAAGCATATGATTAGCTTTTCATTGGTTTGAGATGGAAGCGACAAGACCTGAGGTTCCCTAGGGAAAAAAGGCAGTGTCCACATATAATAAATTAAACAGCGGATGGGGCACCCAGACAACATTTTGGGAGTCAGGCCAGTTCAAGGACTGTTCCCAAAAGACAGTTTTCAAATGTGGCCTCCCAGTTTTGGAGGCTAAGACAGCTTACTAGTACAGACATAGCCTGACCAAGGCACTTGGCTTCAGGGCCACAGAAAAGTCCAGGAAGAGTTTAGTTTAATATCACAGATGTTGCCTAAAGCATTTTTAATGACAGACTCTACATGCACAATTGCATTTTTTTCAGTTAAGTACAACTCTTATGCAAAAACTAAAATATTTATATAATCAAGGAGAAATCGGTACAATTTTTGACCATTTCTAGTAAGAAAAGAAACTGGTTTATGAATTTAAGCTGGAATTTCTTTTCCCATGGCAAGCATATGTTATGAATAAATGTATACACACAATATGCATATACCCACGCTTTTTAAAAACTATTCTTGTCATTGCTCTCCATTTATTCAGCTATTACGACTTATATTTTGCGCTTGTTAAACGATTCATGTTTCCCACCAGTGATACTCAACTTATCACACATCAAGTTTATGTGAGAGAAGGATAAAAAGTCAGTGTCAAGCAGGGCAAGTTACACAGTAATATTCTCAATACTGCTGTCCCAGCACCTTCAAGTTGGACAGAGACCTCCTTCTGCTAGGCGCAAACAAATGTTTTTTTCCAAGAACTGAAACCACAGAATACTTGGAAAGTAACCACACAGGATTAAAAAAAAGCAGGGGGAGAGGGGAAGGGCAGAAAAAAGAGAGCAATGGAGAGAGAAGGGGGCGGGGGAAGATGGAATTGTCTCAGTATGTGTCCTCTTCCTGCCAAGCTGATACCTTTTCCAGAAGTAGTCAATTAAGTTTTTTAACATAACTTAGACTAAGCAGTTGGGAGTGTGTGTGGGAAAGCTGTGCTTCTTGGACAGATAAGAAGAGATTGCTGTGTGGTTGTTTTTTTTTTTTAATGCATCCAACTATCACCTCCTCATAAAGTGATTTTTAATACCTTCCCATAACACCTCTCAACATACATTTAAAATTCTTGTGCCCATTTAAACAAACAAACAAAGTCAAGTACAGCATTGTGTAACATTATCATATAAAAGCATTTAAAAATCAGTATTTTTTTCACTTTGATAGTAAATTAGTTGTGACAGCCGTTCTCAAGAGTTTCTACAAATGAAACTATTCAGGTTAGTTTTGTTTTAACAATAAAATGCTTCTGACTACACATGTATTGGGTAACACAATTTCAACATACCACTGTGGTCCCTTGGCAAGCTAGATGTGACTTTTCAATATCCTTTTAAGATATTAAGAAAATATGTTAATTACACTTCTGAAACTAAGCATGATTAATCAGTGATTAACTAATCAGTGATTAGTGAATCAGAATCAGTGATTAACTAATTCTATGTTTGAGTAAAACGTATTAAATTTCTTAAGCTTTTAGTTTTCTGGCTAGTTGTCTTAAAAAAACAAAACAGAACAAAACTCGCCCCCAAATCAGCTGAAAACATTAAAACTTTATCTATATGAGAGGGATCAAGAACTGAGACTAATATAACCTGGCAGTGCCTGCTCACAGTACAGTGACCTAACACAGCACAAATAAGGTCACTGCAAGTTATGGTGCAAGTTGCTTTCTGTATTCCCAAAGGCGTTGTTAGATCTTCAAGCAGCTTGTTGAAAGTAAGAGGAAAAATAGAACACCAGATTATTTGAAAAGACCTCTACCCTTAGATGGCCTAAACCTCCCTGCTGCACCACATGGTGTGGCAAGTAGCCAGCAACTCTTGGATACTTCATAAAGAAGAAATAAAATAAGGCCATGCAGGACTGCATCAGAGGTTCCCAAAGTGCAACCCACAAACCATCTCTGACCCATAAAAGCCTTCCTATTTAGCTTGCAAATGGACTTCATTGTGGCCATCCTCAACAGAACCAGTTCATTAAGTCTGAAGCAATAACAGATTTCTTCCAAGTGGACTGGAGTTGGGGCAAGTGTCTGGGTGCTCAGGAGACAGGAGCCCTCTGTCACTAAGAGCCCAGCAAGCTCTGCAACTTGATGCTGTGGATGCTAGCGGGCCTCAGGAGTGTCGCCTTCTCAGAGCCATCCAAGGTCCACCAAAGAGCCCCAAATCATGGGGAAATGGGGAAGAGTCAGTAACAAAAGCCCTCGCTTGCAGGGAGGATCACTACACATTTCAGACAGCTCCCCTGCGCTGAGCCAATCACACACACGCCACAGCTCTCCATGATCAGAACTTGATGCTCCAGGGCCCAAACAGAGATCAGGAATACCTGTCTTACAAGTAGCCAAATGCATTTTCAAAGAACTAGTATTTGGGACCTTAATGATGTATTAGTTATCAAATTATCATCAGTTATTGAAGTTTAACACCCACCCCACCCCCCAAGATTTACTTACTTTAGTACTACTAGGAAGAAAAAGCATTTACTCCATTTTTACCCCAATTTTAAGGGGGGGGGGTAGATGCCGCTTCCCACCTATAAATTAAATAAATATTTTAATTTTTTATTCCTATTTGAATAAAATATAATTCACAACCCAAATAAATTATAGAAGTGATCCTTAGTAAGAACATAATAAAACATCCAAACATGTGACAACTTGACCATTTTTTAAATTTTGAGATCTTTAACAATATGGTAGATTTATTTCTATCTCAAAGTACCATATTCTTTGTCATCCTCAAATTAAAAGCAAAACTGGGCTGCTGTCTTACAGATTCTCCTGTGAACTCTGTCACTGTTTTCCCAATATAAAGTAAACTGGGAATGTACACAAGTGCCACTTGGGTAATAGTGGCAATAAAGACTCACCACTTCAGATTCTAGTACTATAATGTTTTTTATCAGTCATACCTCATCTTCTGCATCTGCTGCAGAAGTTAACTTGAGCACAGCTTCACATTTCTCTTGGAAACAGCCAGAAAGGAAGTCAGCATGTCTCATGAACACATCCATTTCTTCACTGGTGACTGGGTTCTTCTCACTTACTGTCGCCATTATCAGCTCTAACAAAGTAACTCTAGAATCAGAAAACAACGTGTTAATCAAATTCACTAAGCCATAGAGAATTATCAGTAGAATAAGCAGATACAGTTGTTAAAAATGATACAAACCACTAACATGCTAGTACCAGAGCTGATTTTTAAAAATTAAGAAGTCTTATGAACACTGACAATCAGTTCCTGTTCGCTGGTTTATTTCTGCACACCATTAATTTAATTCATCATTCAATTAATACAATCTGGCCAGACAGTCAAGTCAATATTTTTCTCAAGTCTATTTCAATTTCTAATTTCTTATGTCCTAACATAACATTACTGTGACTGCATATTCCGTATGTCTAAAATTTCCACCAAAGCAGCTCTTAAAAGCTGTTGTTAAGTTCAGCAAAATAAACACAGACTATTTGACAGCTTCCGTTTGAAAATACCAGCTTTTCACAGCCCTTGCCTTGCACGCGCTCCTTCACTAATTCTCCTCCCCAACCCCAAAGCAATTCTGAGCAGGAACAGGGGAAATAAAAATTGATATGCACACTCGGTTCTTTACAGCTGTTTTATAATTGCCACTAGACAGACTACAGTAAATCCAGGTTAATTACTCATATACCCAGTAAAAGTTATTCAGTGTATTAAACCAGCAAGTAAGTGGATACATAGCGAAGCTGCTCTATAAAATGTACTTGGGTCATTTATTTTAACAGCTTTAATGTCGTTTTATTTCCGATACCCCTTCATGTTAGGGCAGACTGGGAGTATTTTGTGGAAGCAGGACTTTATCATGGCAGAGGCCCTCCTACAGCTTCCCTGTTCAACTCCAGCGCAGAGGAGCCCATGGGTTAGTGAAGTCCCACTGTAATTCTCTCAACCTGAAAGAGCGCTATTTATTGAATGAATTCAAGAGCAGGCTCAGGGTTTTCTTTCACTAAAATATTTGCAATTCAGATGGAAGGACTGACATTTAAACATGTGGAATAGTTCAAATGCTTTTTCTTTTTTTTAAATTTACCAAGCAGGTTGTCACAAGGGGAAGAGAAATGTCTTTTTCTGTGGAAAAAGCACGGTCACTGCTTTATTAACCTCCAAGAACCCACCCCTATTAATCACATAACAGCTACTCAGTTCTTACTAAACTCAACCCTCAATGTCATTAATACAGCTGCATTAAACAATTATCTGAATGAGGACAAAATGCTTTTTCAACACGGTAGCACAGAAATGCGCTCAGCACATTTGGGAAAGGGTGGACTCCAGACAGAAGGCTGTCAAACACTGGTAACCTCTCTCACAGGCTTCACTTATGTATGTGATGGAGCACCGACACAGAACAGTCGTTCTGTTTGTTCTGCAGGTTACAGCTGGGTACCACACGTTTGCCCATCTACAAACTACCAGAGTCCAGTTACCCAATGTCCCTGACTGAATGAAGGCTTTCGGATTTGGCGTACTATACAAAAATCAAGTTAAGTACACAGACATGTCATTCATCCCTAAGACATTTTACATTTTTACATGCCAGTTTTTACCAAGTTTAGAGCCTTTCAAGCATACGCTCAGTAAACAGGCTGCTCACAGACTTTATGATTACAGGAATTATTCCAATACAAGACTGTCTCCTGCATAACAGAATTCCAGTCAGCTATTGTTGCACCAATAGTCCAAATAATACACATTTAATGACGACAAGGAATCCTTCTTTAAAGAAGTTAGAGGGTCACCACATACTTGCATAAACTGCATTAGTGAGATTAAATTATTGCCTATAGGGGAATTTTTTGCATTACTCTTCCTCTTGCAATATAATTGGGTGCCCTTTTAGACAACCATAATCCTTTTGGAGAAACAGGAGTGACATTAAAACACCACCTGTGCCTAAGTTCTTTTAAAGTTTTCTGTTCTCTTTAGGCATTCATGTCAAAACCATTTTCCTGAGTTTTCTTCCAGGCACAGTCATTCAGGACATGCCCATCTTTCCCGTGAATTTCAAGCAAGTCTTGCCATTCAGCCAACAATTTCCTGAGAGCAATGCTTTTTGTTCTGGTGCAAGTTCCCTTACACTCCTTTCTTCTATTGTTTCTCTCATTTTTCTTCCAAGACTCACCCCAATTTTTCCAAGTTAGTTCTCCCACACAATGCAATTTGCTCATTTCTTTCAAACGATCTCACAACTGTTTAGCCATTCAGATGACAAAGTTGGTTCCTACATGTTTGCCTATAGCTAAGTACAACAGATATGACAAATGTTAGTACCAGTTTTAGCATGTCTCATCGTGAATTTTTGCAACACTCAGTTCAGTACCTAAAATATAATTTTGTATATTATATTTATGATTATATTTCTATTCGGAAATGATTATGCCATGTCATCTTCATTTTCTTTAGGCACCACTTCGGAAGACTTTTTGTCAATCTCTTGCCTTTTGTTTCTCCTAGCCAAATTTAAACCAGTTCTTCCTGAAGCTGACCAAATTTGCAAGAACTTAGAACAACTACTATAAAGTATTTGCAATCATCAGTAAAACACATTGCTGTCTCCTATGGTCTGCAAATAAACCACAGCATTAAAGTGCAATTTAAGTGCAATTTAAATCTGGAAGCTCATTATTGCAAATTAAAGTGAAGTTCTGCTAAGCCTGTCTAAAAATAGTATTGTAAAATTCTATCAGTTTTATCACCGCCAAACAATTTTTGTATCAAGCGTGCTTGGTTTATAACCTCTTAGCAAGTGCCAGGCACCTGGGACATTCTTTCTCTGTGACTGGGACTTCTTTCCTGAAACACTTCACTGACAGCGATGGTTCTATGAGACAAATTAGATCCTTCCTCAAAATTTTCCAAGTCTTTCATCTTCGAACGATAGTTTTAAGCATCCTATTAAATGAAAATTGGTAGATTTGTGGTGAAGGACTACAGTCCAATGCTACCTTCATCTATCCTGTGTCTGTGAGTATTACCAAGAAAAACCCACCACAACACTGACATTAGCAGCCCTGTAGCTGAACATAAGCAAGAAGCGGTACCACTTACACTACTTGAGCGCCCGTTTCCCTGCTGGTAATTTGATCAATGGCTACATCATTCACTGAGAACAATTCACATGAAATAACACAAAAATCAAAACTAAAGATGCAAGTAGTTGAGCATCTTAAAAACACCTGAAGCTATTCAGTTGCATTTTTGTTGCTGTTAATTAAAGCAAGACCCCTTCATAAAAGTGACAACACAGATGTACTCATTTTGAAGATTTTACAATGTAATTAAGACTATCAAGGCATTAACTCACATTGTCCATGCTCAAGGCTAACCTGGATTAAAGCAAAGCAGGCTTTTTCTAAATACTTCTGCCAAATACTTGCACACATGTGCAGGGAAATCTCAAATCTGGCAAAGAATTCAAGAATCTACAATCTTTTGGCTCAATACCGTAGCCATATGTTTCTGCAATAATCACTTGCAGAGAAACAGCAGGCATTGTCACATCATCATACACTTTTCAAAGCCAGAATACCATTAAAAAAGCTGATCATATTATCACAGTATTTATTTCAGGCCATTTGCAAACTCAGACATGCAACCCCAAAGTGCTTAAACGTGTTTGGAAATGAAAGAGAAAGTTGTCCGGAAGTTAGGAATTTGTCTTTTAATTGGAAATTCAGATTCCAGATCCACTTCTACAACAAGAACTGCTTCATGGCATGCACCATGGCCACAGTATCACAAATGCACTAGATTTCAATTACAGGAAATACTTTGAATAGTGCAAATACTGTGAATAGCGCAAATAACTGCGGTTATGCAATTGCATATACTTTGGTTATCTAAGGCAACTGCCAACTTTAAGAGTCACCACTAACGTATGTATTCGCAAACTTTCTTAGCATATTTAATTTCGTTTCAGTAAATACATTTAAAGTAAGTGTATTTAATGTGCATGATGGAGAATACTGTATATTCATGAGCTCAAGCTGCTTTCCCCAGACACCTCAATACCACATCTGTCCTTTCTTCATTTCTATGACTTAGTCAGCCCTATTGGACACCCAATGCGGCAACTCTTGCGGTGAAGGCTTCTTGTCTCATTTTGAAACAATGAATTCCCTATGCTTTGGTTTATACGGTTACTTTTTTCTCCAGTTAATGACAGTCAAAATGTTTTTATCTGAATTGGATTTGTCTCCTCATATATCTCAAAAGAATGCATTCTTAAATATGCTAACGTTATATAGGAAGATGCCATGGCATGGTTTTCTTCTATAGCTCGGATGCAAAAGGACTACTTCTATACTGCTTACTTCCATATGTTTGACAGCAAATTAAGCAGTATCAAATTCATAATAAACTGTATTGTGATTATGTTTTTCAAAAACTTAACTGAGTTTACTTGATTTGCAGAACTCTTGGGATTGATAATAAATTCAGCGAATATGCTGTGACTAGCCATCCCGCATGTGATCATCCATATGATGCCCACACCAAAAGCCTTTTAGTTAAGGTAGCCAATCACCATCTGTACCACAGTGCATGCAACAAATCCATCTGAGACCTTTCTAGAAACTGATTACATCCATTGCTTTAAGTACAATTGAACAACCTAACCCAGTCCTGGCTGTCCTCAAAGGGATTATGAAAACATACAAACAAACAGTCATTCACTACATCCCCCGCAAGAATTAAATCTAGCTCATTCACATAAAACAGTCTTTCCTGCTAACTGGTTAAGGAGGCCCTACCTCCAGGCACAGTAAGCACACAGCTCATATTTGTTCCCATTTGGTCAGCCTGAATAAAGGAAAATGACAGTATTTCCCTCCTTATCATTCCCATCCCTTGTTTTCCATCCCATACCTATACATTAATGATATTTTATCTATGGTTCTCAACCTATCATATACTCTTTCTTTGCCTGCCATCCCTTTTGTTTCTTGATAATCTCTGATAGCGTGTGTACCCCCATTTGTAGTAATACTGTGGCTTTAGTCACAGCAAAAAACACAGGAAAAAAAAAACATTAAGGGACTGCTTTGTTTACTGCTTTGTCTTTCACCTGCAAAAACTGTAAGGGGAACTTGCAGTTTCCCTGGGCAAATGGGGAACAAAGTAGCCATGCTGAATACATAACCAGATCACAAGATCTTCAAGCAGTTGGAGGAGCTGTAAAATTATAGTACAGGATTTCCCAAAGTTGATTATTCTAACAAAATAATTTTTTATCTTCCCTGATTCTTTATTAAAGCAATTATAAATGAGCATTTGCCTGATTACAGCAATGGCCATTTCCCATCAATTCAGCATACATTTACTCAAACGCTTGAAGGAAAACTAGCTAGTTTCTTCCATGGTGAAGGTTTGTTGAAGCATTTTATATTTTCAATAGTGGACTTAGTAAAAGATTAAGTAATCATGGGCATCTACACATCTATGTTTTTTAGGTTCTGGTAACCAGTATTAGATACACTTCCAACTTTAGTAAAGGCTTCCTTTTAATTTCTTGTAATTACAACAGGAGTATGAACAGCTGAGGATATTTCAAATACAGCTGTAAAACACTGCAGGGTGTGGTGCTCTTACGAAATCAAGACACAGGCATGAAATCTTGTCTTTTTTTTTTTTTTTGAAGTATTTCTTTACCGAGTAATGGCGCCAACCTGGATTCTGCAACCCTACATAAATCACTGCCAGTTGTGGCTAAGCTGTAATGTTAACCAACCAATTTAAAACCATTACTGACATAGAAACATGTATTTAGAGATTTTGTGCCAACTATGAAACCACACAGTTTTTCAATCATGTGAACAGGATACTCTATATGGAATGCTAAATACTAAAAGCCACACTGGTTTTTGGGGTTACCTTTCTTGATTGCTCAGTTTGGCATAGAGGGCTTTTACCAACTCTGGACATTTCAGCAAATGGTCTGTAACAATCAAGAACCTAAAGAAAGAAAGAAAAAGAAAAAAAAGTGTTACTGGTGCTACAAAACCAGCACATTTACTCCAAATGGTGCTGGTTATTTTTACTTGTTGATGACCATGTGGCATGCTTCTGTTCCTATTTGCTAATAGATACAGATTGTCACAAAATAAATGCACATTGTTCTGCAGTATTTTTCCTAATACAGCAATGGCCATTTCTCATCAATTCAGTGCACTTTTACTCACATGCCTGAAGGAAAGCTGGTTAGAGTCTTTTGCCAGTTATACAAAAGGCACACCACAATTCAAATAATAAAACACTCATCCAATTGTTTAAGTATCTCAGCAAAAAGCCTAAGTTCAAACTTCGAAACTATTATGCTACTCATCATAATACTGTTTTTAGCCCACCAAACAGTCCAAAAAGTGCCCAAATAAATTCTCTTTTAAAGAAATTCTAACAAAGCTTCGAAGCAAATGGAAACTTCTTTGTCAGATGGAAGGCAGCAAAATACTGTCCTCAGCTTACAAAAAAATACCCTCCTTGCGTAATAGGAACCTAAGCTGATAACCAAATCTAACTTCTTGCTCTACAAGTCAGGTAGGTATGGTCAGTCCACCCTTGTGCTAATGCCAATATTTACACTGATCACTTTCCCAAGCACCATTCACAGCAGTCAACAGCAGATGCTAGTCATTTCATGTCAACCCAGACACATACTCTCAACATAATGGGAAAAAACAAAGTATGTAAAAATATTTTTCTCCTCAAATTACATTCCTAGGAGTATTGGCAATGTTATATATGCTGCACAGGTATATGCATACTAAAATATGTATTTTTAAAGCAGCGTGTCCATCTACTGAAATATAAAATAATTACAGGTCAAATCTCAGAGCATCCTCTGAGCTGATGAAGCTACTGAGAAAGAATAGCTAAAATAATATGAAAACCAAGCAATTTCAACAATCCCTCTACCTCCTCCCTACTTTTCACTTTGCTGACCAGCCTTTTATTTTGTGTATCTGTAATCCACTACATAGCCAACAGGAAGATCACATAGAAGCCTTGCAGTTGCAACAAAGTATTTTTTGGACAAATATTCAATGACAATTGGGGGAATAGGAGAACAAGAGGTCCAAAAGATTAACAGCTATTCTATTTCTAATGGTAACTGTGGACTTAGCCAGCATCTGGTTCAGTTACTGTAAAATAGACGTTTTTAAAGAGGGGGAGGAAGAAAAGCTATTTTATGCTGTGATGCTGTGCTTTTTTTTTTTTTTACTCTTATTTGTACACACATTCAAGGAAAAAAACAGTATAGGCGTAGGGAATCATCAACTTAAAACTGGCATTCTGAGCAGTGTAGCATTGATTCAAGAGTTTCTCAACACAAATCTGAACCTACAGACTTCCCCAAAGTCAAGAGCACAAATGTGTTCCAACTGAGCAGCACAGACTCAGCCATAACAACTGAATCAAGCTATCAGCAGGGCAAAGGGAACACTTCTACAGTTCCTGAACCAACAATACATGGCATATGAGCCACCCACAGTTAAACCTTCAGAATGGTAACAACTGACTTTATTTTTTTTAAGGATTTGAGTAGAAACAAACGCTTTTATCTGGAGCTGTGAAAGAAAAAAGCATAATAATCAGAGTTGTGCAGAACACAGTACTTAGCCTCATAAAGTACGAATTTCAGCTGATAATGAATAATGGTAGAAGGAGACAATCTGAAGCCTGATTTTTCAATTTTGCAGTTGGGACTATGAATTAAATCTTAATTTTCATGATTAACATTACTTTGAGGAAATCTTGACTATTTGCCTTGTAGTTAAAAAGTGACCAATAATTATCACAGAAAGATCTAATGCTAATAGGTGCACATTAGTGATTACTATTGCAAAGGTCTGTATTTCAGCCATTACTTGGGTCTACACTCTTGTATTTATTCACACACATCTTTCATGCTCTGTGGACTAGACGGCTAACGCTTGAGGAGCTTGCAGTATTTCAGAATAAAGTTTCTGCTTATAAAGGAGCATAAACTTCTGTATATGCTTTTACCCTTTTAATTTCATGATGTGACGTAACACCTCAGAAATTTCTACTTCTATATTTAAGTTTCTCTTTTGCTCATCCACTTCCCACATTACTGTATCATAAAGAATAGAGCAGTAGCATATTGTACAAGAGCATCACCAAGAGATAACAGAAGAATTAGTAGTGGAATAAAGCACTTTCAACTCTTGCTACGATGGCCAGAAATTTTGATGGTAGTTAAGCAAGGATGCAGCAAATTAAATCTAGTATCTTTATTCCTCAGCTCTCCTGTTTTTCATTTGGGGCAGGAGAGAAGAGTAAGAAAAGTAAGACCATCCACAACTCTGAAATAAAAAGACATTCAGTTTTGGGTTACTGACTGAATATGGCATTTCAGATGCACACAAAAGGCTTTGGTAGGAGATTTAAACTCTCTTTGGGGGCCAACAGCAGAACCACTGGGATAAACTGAGGACCACTGTAATTTAGTGAAGGAAATAGTGAAAATTAAAGTTGTTATGCAAGCGTAACACAGTAACAAATGAACAGTGTTAAATATGCCAATTTTCTTGACTTTAAAAATTGTTTGGCTAAAATCCTAAAAAAATCAAGTGCTTACATAGCAGATAAATACAGCAGGAGATGTTCAGTTCAAAGACTTCACAATAGCACAAGGGCTGCATTGTACCAAACTGAACTTGAGAAGCAGCCAAGATAAAATGGTATAAGCCACATTTGTGCTCAGTATATTCCAAATGACCACTAAGATTGCTCCAATCAAAGCCGGGTATAAGCAATCAACTTTATCATCAAATGTCATGCTCCATATTAAGTTGATTTGATCCCATTAGCAAGTTTAGAAAACAGTGTCCTCGGTCTCGGAAAATGAGGTAGAAACCCCCACAAATGTTTTAGAAGAAAGAAGAAAAAGACATGGCTATTCTCTATTTGATCAGCAATCTGCTCTGCCGATCTCAAAATCAAAAGCATTTTCCATCATTCTACAATAATGCTACTCTATCCAAAATATTTAGTAAGAATGAAATAGCTATTTTTACTGTAGTTTAACAAAAAAGTGTAACAAATCATCCAAATTTTGAGGAAAAAAAAAAGATGAAAATTTAGACAGCTAACCTTTCAAAGCCATGTCACCAGTCTTTTTAGATGCTAAAAAAGCAATATGCCTCATGAGGAACTGTTTGGGACTGGAACATGTTTTAGAAGCAGAAGTATTTTTTGTCTTTGCACAAGAATATAAGCATCCTATCAAAACTATTTAAAAAACAATTACAAGTATAAAGCTACTTAATAACAAGTGGAACACATGTGCTGTCAAAAAGACCTCTAGAAACTAGGTAACTCATCCCACTCAACCACCAGCACTTCTCACTCAAAAGAAGAATAAAGAAACACATTTCCACATTTAAGGCTCAACCCCAAGTATCAAGCACCACAATACTCCTCTCCTGAGCTGAATCAAGCACAACAGTGAACATCCTTCCATCTTCAAAAGGCATTACCCATAATGAATGCATCCTCCTTACTGGCCATGATACTGTCCACCAAGTTAACTCGCAGGTCTAGAAAACTGAGTTCAGATTGCCTGTAATATTTCTCTGATTCAGAAGACACTCTCATTCAATTTGATAGCTACATCTGAAAGGCGCTAAAAAGAGGTTTATTTTTACTTACATGCAGAGTTGGAATCATTTTTTTCTGAGGAGCTACAAGAAAAAACTGGAAGATGATTAGCAATATATAATCACTTCCTGCTCCCCCCTTTCCACAAAATATACAAGAAGAAAGAGGTGACAAGATAAATAAACGTGTGAGGCTGGGCTTTGAAAGATTGGGGAAATCTGTGCCAATACACTGCTACTGCAAATAGAAAGTAGAAGCTACTCAGATCTCTACAATTAAGGAAACTTTTCCAATTGTCAGTACTATTTAAAACCACAGTTGAACTTGGAACCTGCAACATAACTCCAACTTTCCTGGAATTAAAAATAAGAATTACTTTCTGGAGAGTAGAAGAAGGGGGTGGGGGACACCCTAAACTGTCAGAGAGAAGAGACAGAGTTGCCAGCCCAAAATGAAAAAAAAAAAAAAAAAGATAACATTTTCTGGTTTCTGCACCACATGCATACCAATTAAGCAACAAGCGTTCTACTGAGGAGTTCCATCTTTGCCTTTAAATCTGTGCCCATGGGCGAGACTCCTTGCCACAGGAGCACTAGTTTCTGTCCACACTTCTTCTTTCCATAAGCCAGGACAAAATAACCAAAAGCAAAAAATGGGGAGGGGGAGCCCCACATCCTAATCTTTACAGTCATCATTGAGCTGTGGTTTCAAAAAGAGAAAGTGGATGTTCAGAAAATCTTACTTCTAATGCCAAACAGCTGACCACACTCTTAATATCATTTTTCTGGAAGCCAAAAGGCATATTACGCCTCTTATTTTAAAATGGAGGATTTTTGTTCCTTGCTCTTCAGGAATCAAAAAATACAACCTGTTTTTTCTTTCCATAGTAGCTACACTGCCCCATGCACACACTTGGAAAAACTGATGACACAAGCTATACTCTCATCTCTAATGGAACCACCAAAGTATTTCTAAAATAAACAGCTTTTAGAATACACATTGGTCTCGGTTAGCATAAATTATAATGTAATTTTGTACTACTTTTTCCTAATTATTTTACAAAACACATATGTTTGCAGGTTCAATATTCTAAAATAGATTTCGTGGCATTCTGTGCTGGTTTCTCTTCTAAATACAGTAGCTTCTAAACTGTGTGACACACTTTGCTGCTGTTGATCAATACAAACCCGAAAGGGAGTGGATGTGGATGTGTGGGGAAACACAGAGGAATGACTTTTTAAAACCTCCACAATTTTCCAGAGCCTAAGGCATAGCTCTTTGCATGTTTTAAGAAAAACCTTTTACTAAAAAAAAAAAAGGCAGCGCTTGGC